ATTACCAGATATTAAAACATTTACCTTTTTCTACACTTTTAATATTATTAGATCTTTATAACCGGATTTGGGTTGATGGGAATTTTCCTCCTTCATGGCGTGAAGCCACAATAATTCCCATCCCTAAACCGGGTAAAACCCTACGAATCCTACCAATTATCGTCCGATCGCTTTGACTAGCTGCATTTGCAAAACCATGGAGAGATTGATCAATCGAAGGCTTGTTTGGTACCTTGAGTCCAACAACCTCATTACAGACCTCCAATGTGGATTTCGGTCCCAAAGGAGCACTCTTGATCATCTCGTTCGATTTGAAACGTTTGTCAGGGATGCTTTCATCCAGAAACAACATTTAGTTGCTATATTTTTTGATCTGGAGAAAGCTTATGATACCACATGGAAATATGGTATCATGCGCGACCTGCATAACCTCGGTCTGAGGGGTCGCTTACCTGTCTTCATTAAAAATTTCTTAGAAGATAGGTCGTTTAAGGTACGCTTGGGATCAACATTCTCTGATCCATTTCCCCAGGAAATGGGAGTCCCTCAGGGAAGTATACTATCTCCCACTCTTTTTTCCATCAAGATAAATACCATACCATCGTGCCTTAAACGTGGGGTCGACGGCTCTCTTTATGTTGATGACTTTCAGATGTGTTACGGATCGACAAGTATGCCAACAATCGAACGTCAGTTGCAGCTTTGCTTGAATTCTATTCAACGATGGGCAACTGACAATGGATTTCGATTTTCGAAATCCAAGACTGTTTGTATGCACTTTTGTCAACGAAGAGGTTTACATCCTGATCCGGAACTTACACTGGATAGAAGCCCCATTCCAATTGTAGATGAAACAAAATTTTTGGGTTTGATATTTGATAAGAAATTATCATTTATCCCACATATCAAAACCCTCAAGAAGAAATGTCTGAAAGCCCTCAACATTTTGAGAGTCTTATCAAACACTGACTGGGGAGCAGACCGTAAGGTCCTGCTCAGATTATATCGAGCATTTATAAGATCTAAACTCGATTATGGGTGTATTGTGTATGGGTCAGCTCGCGAGTCTTATCTCAAAGAGCTTGACACCATACACAACCAAGGACTTAGAATCAGTTTAGGAGCATTTCGAACATCTCCAGTGCAGAGTTTATACGTCGAGGCGCACGAGTCCTCATTGCACGACAGACGTGATAAACTTGCACTGCAGTATGCTACAAAAATTGCATCTCTGCCTCATCATATTTCTTATAACACCATATTTAGACCATTTCACGAACATCTGTATTTACTGAAAACTAACGTTATTCCATCATTCGGTATTCGCACCCAACCCCTTTTGTCAGAGGCTGGGATCAGTCATGACAGTATTGCGAATACCCCTTTGTTTAGTACTCCACCCTGGACTATATCGGCTCCAAAGATCGATTTAGATCTAACGAAAAACAAAAAGAGAGATACTAGTTCCACGGTTTTTCAGACTCTCTTTCGAGAGCTGAGGTCTAAATATGGTGATTATGCTCCCATTTACACAGATGGTTCCAAAGATGGTGATCGGGTAGCTTCTGCTACAGTCACGCCATCTGGAACCATGTCTGTCAGACTTCCACCTGCTGCTTCCATATTTACTGCTGAGCTCCAGGCCATCTTTCAGGCATTGGAGTTCATTCAATCATCTTCTAATTTAAAACACGTTATATTTACTGATTCTTTGTCCTCTTTGCAGGCAATAAACAATAAGCAGCTTGTACACCCATTAGTAGCAGACATTTATCGTCTGCTACTATCACACGAGTTTAACAGCAAGGACATTGTCCTTTGCTGGCTCCCCAGTCATGTTGATATTAAAGGGAACGATCAAGCAGACTTAGCTGCCAAGTCTGCTTTAGATCTTCCCATATCACAATTTCTTTTACCTTTCACAGATTTTAAATCTTCTATTAACTTTTTTATTTATGACCGCTGGCAACGGTCTTGGGATCTTGCAGGCACAAATAAACTTCATCACATTAAGCCTCTCTTAGGAGACTGGCCAAGCTCCTATAGAACCAACAGGAGGGATGAAGTTGTTTTGTGTCGCTCTCGTATTGGTCATTCTTTTTTAACTCATATTTTCATTTTAAAGCGAGAGCCTCAACCAGAATGTGAACACTGTCATGTTCCTTTGACAGTTAAGCACATTTTGATTGAGTGCAAGCATCTCAAAGATATAAGATCGCAATTTTACCGTTGTCAGTCACTACATCACATGTTTGCCCAACCGGGTTTATATGGTAAAGTGTTAGACTTTTTAAAGGAGACAGGTTTTTATAATAAATTTTAATTGTATATATATATATATATATATATCATGTCATTTTTGTATTTAATATTTATATGCATAAAAGTTGTATTTTATTTTTAATTTTATTAACTGTGATATTGTTTTTATTTATGCATATAATGGTTTTCTGTGATATAATTTAGCCTGTCTCGTAATTTTCACCATATGTTTGGCGCAATATAGCCCGGTTGGAGCTGACGTGCCATAAAACCACATTTCATTTCATTTTCATTTCATTTCAATTTATTTTCTTTCTCGAAGGCCCCTCCCCCCGACCCCTGATTAGCCATACTACGCACGTGGTTTCACTAGAGTCGCAGTCATCGAGCGACTTTTCTTATTGTATATATGCTTGTTCGATTCTCCTTTATTGTATGGTGACTTATTGTATGCATGGTTGATTTCCGCTCATGTCGTCATAATATTCCGGTTCGATGGATTTCCAGAAATGTTTTTGGAGAAATGTTTTTGGAGAAATGTTATTGAAGAAATGTTTTTGGAGTTTTGAATTTAGAAATTTGTTGTTCCAGATTTGTTCTTCGTTGTAATTCTCTGATAAAATGTAAATGTAGGCTAATTTTTGATTTTCTAAAATAAATTTTAGATTTATATTGAAATGCATTTTACAAATCTGATATGACAAATGTCTGATATGTAAAACAATTATTGATTTTAAGATACAAATGTTAATTTTAGTATACAAATGTCGAAATACGACAACAAATGAAGAAATAAGAAATAAGGACTAAGAACACTGAATAAAGAGCTGTTTGGTCTTCCATATTCCTTCGGTGTCGCTTGTGGTATTCTGGTATTTTTGTTTCAGAAGAAAGCAGAATGAATTTGTGGCTCTCTTTATGGATGACAAGTGCGTTCAGTGGCGATATAGATCCCGAGGAAGTAGGTTTGCCAGACACAACCCGGGGCGAACTGGTTGATCTAGCTGTACGCCTCGAAGGAGTGTCAATGCATGGGCCTTCCACGGGGGATAACTTTTTCTTGTTGGGTGTGCTTCGTTTTGGTGTGTCCCAGAGAAGGTTGTGTCTAATGTGCATTGGTGGGGCAGTTTTAGGGACCGTGAACAAGAGGCGATGGAACTTTGTGTTCGCACATTCCCGAAGTCGCTTGCCGTAGGACTTCTTGGCCCAATCTAGGGCGTGGCTAGAGTACTCTTGTACATCTGTAACTACCTTACAGATAACAGAAGATCAGCGTATTTTACACGACCTTTATTAAGAACATGAAATAGACATAAATCGGGAGGAGCTCTATTCCAAGTCTCACTTACTGTCAGTAAACGCCTGCCTATAAAGCGTTCAACAATTAGGGACAAGAGTCATCACCATATATGGTATTGATTATTTATCAATTTAATTATGCTGTCTGTAATTACATTGCATATTGCCTTGGATGTCATTGTCAGGTCATAACACTGACCACTACTACATTCTCTTTGAAGTTCTGCCTAGTGCTATACACATATCATGTGTAGCTTGTAAAGGATATATTGAATTACTTAGATGTTTAATAAGATCGTAGGGAGTCCGTGCCTTAACCAAGTTTATACAGAGGTGAAACGTCAATATCAAATATTATCAAATCTACCAGAGTTCATGAAGTTCTATGCACCTAAATGATCGTTCACTTTAATGAAAAGTATAAAGATCACTTTGTCACACATCATCTTTGGTAAAGTGACTTGACTTCAAGTTTCCCCACTAGCATGGCTCGTTAGTGTGTCGGCAAGGAAGATGCGACATCCTTGACCCATTTCAAATTTAATGGTGGTGGCTATGGTAGGCGTCTTCATGAACGGCTTCCCGAACTTGTTCAGGTCTTGGATCTTCCAAGTGAAACATCTGGTGGGTGTTCCATTCTTCTTGCTCTATATTATGGTCAAGGTCTTCACGTCACATGGATTCTCCCGAGGTGGTTGGTGCTAGTGCTGGTTTAATTGTCGATTTGGGTGGCACTGGTAGCAAAATCCAGGTGGTGGTTGGTGGAATCCTGGTGGTGGTTGGTGAAAGCCTGGTGGTTGATGGTGACAACATGGTGGCGGTTGGTGAAAGCCTGTTGGTGGTTGGTGAAAGCCTGGTGGTGGTTGATGATTTCCCGCTTGTGCGTGACAAAAAGTAGGGTCGCCTGTCTAGTCTAGTGAGTTTTTACTGATCCCCCGGTTTCCTCCAGGCGCTCAAGAGCCCTACGAGCAAGTGAATTATTGAAATAATATTGAAACATATTTAGTCCCGAAATGACCCAGCTTGTGTCAGTCTAATTACTTCATTCTGAGCGAAGTTATGAAATGTTTGAAGTTCTGGCAAGAAATGGCCTAAATTGTCTCGATTTCCCAAGACTATTGTCAGTTCCTCCCTCCGTGAGTGGCATCAATATTACCGTCTAATAATATCTACTCCCATTCTCTAATCCATTCAATATCTTGGCCATCCCACGGCCTATAGAGTTGGTTAAGGAATTGCCAATTGAATAAATGTCTAAATAATGCTGCATACACAATATTTTGTTAGAATTGTAACCATTAAAATTAATAATTCATGGAATACGATAACGGCTTTTATTTTACAGATAATTTATTTATTGCTTTATGACATTTTAATGTTGCAATGAACTTGCCTATATAAACTGTTCGTGAATTTGGATAATTCAGAATCCTGAGAGAACGTGTTCAGAACAAAAGTCGTTCACGAGATCTTGCAATTATGGAAGCCGTAAGTACTTTGAGATAGTTGATAGATTGTAAATATGTGCAATTCAATTGATATGTCATATAATAATCATAAACTCCGCTAATTCTAAAAATCGCGATTACTTAGATTAGAACATATTTTCACAAACTCACGTTAACTGATTGAAAACCTTTATAGGATATCAATTCGTACTACTCGTACAGGAACTGATGCCGGTATGACGTTTCTTATAGGCTATAAATGTGTACTACTCGTACAGGAACTGACGCCGGTATGACGTATGTTATAGGATATAGATTCGTATTACTCGTACAGGAACTGATGCCGGTATGACGTATGTTATAAGGTATAAATTCGTACTACTCGTACAGGAACTGACGCCGGTATGACGTATCTTATAGGATATAGATTCGTATTACTCGTACAGGAACTGATGCCGGTATGACGTATGTTATAAGGTATAAATTCGTACTACTCGTACAGGAACTGACGCCGGTATGACGTATCTTATAGGATATAGATTCGTATTACTCGTACAGAAACTGATGCCGGTATGACGTATCTTAGCAATGAATTGGTAGATTTGTCGCATGCTATCATGTGAACATCTCTCATATGTTGACTGGGGTGGCCCACTCCCGGGTGTTGACTGGGGATGCCCACTCCCGGGTGTTTACTGAAATGTCTCACCCCCTGTGTTGATGCAGAAAGTTCTTGGGGATTTTTCAGCGTGGTTTCTCCTGGCAAGGAACAATGGAGTTCGTATGATACTAAAAACCGAGGTGCCCGTAAAAGTGTTTTCTTTTTGGTTGTTTGAATTAGTCGGAAAGACCACTGGCCGGGTAAAATTGCTACCATAGCATACTACATGACAAAAGACAGGTTGCTGAAGACAAGTAATAAGTTAAAACTCATTCCATTAGTTTAAGTCAGGGCTCAGTTCTGTTTACCGTTGTATATGAAAGATGCACAATTAATCATTTAAGACCAAAATAAGATAGATATAAATAATATCATTCTCGTAGGTAAAGACATTGTTGGTGTCTGTATATGTAGGTAAAAATATTGTGGTCTTTGTATTTGTAGATATTGTTGTTAGATAACACGTGTGTTTTGTATCTGTAGGTATAAATATTGTTGTGAGATAACACATGTGTGTATCTTGTATTTGTAGGTAAAGATATTGTTGTTAGGTAACACGTGTGTTTTGTATCTGTAGGTAAAGATATTGTTGTGAGATAACACTTGTGTATATTGTATTTGTAGGTAAAGATATTGTTGTTAGATAACATGTGTATGTTTTGTATCTGTAGGTAAAGATATTGTTTTTAGGTAACACGTGTGTATTTTGTATCTGTAGGTAAAGATATTGTTTGTGCTGAGTTTAATATTAGAATGTTGTAACTGTTGGGTAAACAAATTTGATCAGCCAGTATCGTATGAATGTCCCCTCGGACAAGTGCTTACTAAAATATCCAGTCAACATAATAATTATTACGAGGACAGACAATGGGATTTCCAGTGCGCCTACTCATGTGCTTTGGCCACATCGAATTCATGTAAATGGACCAGTAAGTAAGCTTATTTTAGACCAAGGCTTTAGAATTTAGATAAATGAAATCTCTGTGCTACATTATTTCCAAAATTAATATTTATGTAACGTTATGGACCCCCTCTCTCTCTCACTTTTACTCAAAAGACAATTTCGTTCTTTCCTCAAATTACCATAGAGATCTGTAAGAGACTGTTCACTTAATATTCATCTTCAGCTGTCAGACTAGAGTTTTAAAATGTACCTCTATTAACCATTATTACATTCCCAACATTTATATCGTTAGACATTAAGAAGGTAAGTACAATTAAATTATTGGAAAATATAAGTTATCCCTTTTGGCGAAACCTTGTGTACGCGATATATTTTCTAAAAGTTTTTTTTCAAAGTTAGTTTCGAGGATTGTGTAAGAGATAGGACCAACAGCTATCGATATTTAGCATTCTGCGACTTTCCCTTTCAGAGTTACCACCCAACTCCTCCCACCCTCTACCCCTAACCCTTTGTCGAAAACCTTGTTGACGCGATGGAGGCTCCAGCGTTTTACTGTAAAAATAACCAAGTATATTACCAACGACTCTCATGTTCTTGTTTACTAATTTCATTCATCGAATAGTATGCAGTGGTAGATATACTTTCAAACAAAGCTCACAAACTAATTTATAATCTAGTCCATTGCTTTGTAAATTAATCACTTTGTTAGGTTTTCACTCAGTAATATGTCTTGATCAACGATTATTTGGAGTCCATGTTTCTATGGAAATCCATGAAACTGGTCCATTGGCAAGGGATATCACGTGATGTGAGTAAAAGGTTAACGAACACGGTTGAAATCCGTCAGCACTGCATCACAGTTCTAATTATTATCATTATTGTTTTATTTCAGACAAAGTTAATACATATGATCATGTGATGAACTTTAAATGTCCATCAGGGGGTGCAATAACCGGTATCAGGAGTATCCATAACAACTATTATGAGGATAGAGTGTTCGACATCAAATGCTGTGATGTGATCAAACGTACGTATCAGTAGAAAAATTTTCAATATATTATACAACCTATACTATTCAAAAAAGGTAGGGGATATTTGATTTTGGGGGCATACTACTAAAATATGCAAATGACTACGAAAAAAGTCACTATAGAACCTAACAGAAGAAACATTTCCAGTTACATGTGACGCCCAAACGCACCAATAGCTACCGCATGGAATGCAGGTGATGCTTGGGATCATCATGGGGGTCCAACCCAAGATTTGCACGACTCTGACTTTGAATGTTACAGTCATTGTGGCATTGAATTCCAGGGTGGAAACATCAGTTTAATTGTTTTAGTGACCAGAAAACAAATTTTGATATGCGTCGGCTTACCCAAAATGAAAGGTTACGTGCCCTTGGCATGCTACAGATCGGCACAACAAAGGCGGCTGTGGCGAGGACGATGAATGTTTCTCAGTCTGTCATAAGCAGGCTATGGTCCAGATACCGTGATACACAATCTGTACAGGACAGACCACGCTCAGGTCGACCAAGGGCGACAACTCAAGCCCAGGATCGATTTATCCGTACCTTGGCCTTGAGAAATCGTGTCATCACAGCAAATCAGATCAGCGCTCGTCTTCAAACAGACACTGGTGTGAGAGTGAGTGGCCAGACGATTCGGAATCGACTGCATAGGGGTCACCTTCGCGCCCGACGTCCTCGCGTGATCCCTTGTTTGAGAGATCATCACATTCAGGCAAGACGTCGTTGGTGTAGGGATCGTCAACACTGGGATAATCGACGCTGGAGCAATGTGATGTTTTCAGATGAGTCAAGGTTCACTGTTGATTTTTTGGACAGACGTAGGAGGGTGTGGCGTCGTCGAAACGAGCGCTTCCAAGACGTTAACGTCATCAGACATGATCGATTTGGGGGTGGTTCTGTTATGGTGTGGGGAGGCATCACTGTTGCTGGAAGAACGGCTTTACATGTTGTTGCAGGGCGTGTTACAGGCCAGTACTACCAGGACAACATCTTGGCAGTCCATGTTGTGCCGTTCGCACGACGTCATGGCCGCCGTTTCATCTTCCAGGATGACAACGCAAGATGTCACAGGGCCAGGATCGTTACAGGTTACCTCCAACAACAGAACATCACCACATTACCTTGGCCAGCACTGAGTCCCGACCTCTCCCCCATCGAGCATGTCTGGGACATGCTTGGACAGAGGTTACGTCAACGTCAACAACGTCCTGCCAATGTCCAAGAACTTGCTGCTGCGTTGCAACAGGAATGGGACAATCTGGACCAAAATGACCATAGACGTCTCATTAGGAGTATGTCACGTCGGATCAATGCTTGTTTGGCAAACAGAGGAGGATTTACCCGTTACTGACTTGGTTGTGATGCTGTGGTACCTTTGCTGTTTGACCCCGGGTATCATTTTACCCTTATAATGGTCAGTCTGTGCCTTACTTAGTCTAACGATCATTTGGAATAAATCGATGAATGTGAACTTCATTTCATTTTGTCATTTGTTTCTTCGTCAGTTTCATTAGGTGACTTTAATAACACTTAAAAATCAAATATCCCCTACTTTTTTTGAATAGTATATATACAAAATGCAAAACCTCAATGTTCTTATACAACATCTTCTACTATTTATTGTCATTATACAACATCCTCAACTATGTATGTCATTATACAACATCCTCTACTATTTATGTCATTATACAACATTTTCTACTATTTATTGTCATTATACAACATCCTCAACTATGTATGTCATTATACAACATCCTCAACTATGTATGTCATTATACAACATCCTCTACTATTTATGTCATTTTACAACATCCTCTACTATTTATTGTCATTATCGAGAGCCGCGGTGGCACAACGTTTAAGAGGCTGGTTCGCTCGTTCCCGGCATTCGCCAAGAAGGTTCATCCAATTTTATGGCCTCGACCTAATATTTTTTTTCAAAAGCATAAACAAAGTAATACTACGGATATATATATATGATAGTTTGATACATTTAATCACGTCGTTTTTGGCACCACCCGGTCTAATAACATGTGTTATTATGCTGTTTCCGTATCGACTTCTAAATACCAAGGACTCCGTTTTGTCGTCCTAATCCGAATGATCAAACGTTGTTTCTTGGCAATCCTTGCGCCCAGAAACTATTCTGGAAAATCCTGAGTAAACGTCTCGAATAACACCGGACTCGAACCTCTAATTAGTGAACAAGCACCTTACTCGCTGAGCCACTTTGGCCTCAATAGTGATAAGTGTGAAAGGCTTTAACCAACCGTCCCAAAAAATCATAAAATGGCGACAATACCGTTCACAGCGACATAAAATAAAACAACATCAGATAAAATCAATTGTCAGGATGAACAATAGACCGGTGAACTACGTGTTACGATGACGTTTCGTGAACGTTCAGAAATCTAGGAAACAGAAAATGAATATTACGATAGTGGTTATGTTGTTGGCCAGACCCTTGCTACAGGCGACACTTAATCTGGTGTGTTTGAAAATATTTTATTACCGATAGAATGATGCTATACGATGTATATAATTTGTATTTCAGCGCCTGCTTCATGTTTATGGACAAAGTTTGAAAATAGTTATGATGGCCGCCTTGATTATACAATTGCAGCCAATAGATACCTAAATGGGATATACAGCGTGCACAATAATCATTATGAGTAAGTACTATATCATGTCACAATGTTATTATCTCACAATATTATTTATATCACAATATTATAATAAGAAAGTACTATATTATCTCACAATATTATTTACCTCACAATATTATTACCTCACAATATTATAATAAAGTACTATATTATACCACAATATTATTATCTCACAATATTAATTATATCATATATCAGTTGGTCCATCTTCGTTCATACTATTTGGACAAGTCCTTATCATCATTTTTTCTGTTTGGTTTCAGAGATCGACGTTTTAAATTCAATGAATGCGACCTTCCGAAATGATGATTTGCATGCGCAAGACTCTTTTTAAGAGATTGATCAATAAAGATGCATTTTAGATTTGTTGTTGTTTTATTTGTTATCGTGGTTTAATGTAAAGGGAGTATGGGAATCCTATAATGTGATACATGGTGTTCAGGAAAGAGGCAGCATACACAGCCCTGTGAATGACACCAATTAATAATAAATACTTATAGTATGGAAAAGAAATGAAATGAAATGGGGTTTAACATCCTACTGTTCTGCTCCTATACTGGGCTAATGAAGACGGGCATACGCCATACAGTGTGCTATGAGAGAAATGTTGCCCGGGCAGCGGCACTATCGCCTACTCTTCTATCGAATTCCAACTGCCAAGGGATCTTTTACGTGCATTCCAATGTATACATGGGACCTCGGTTTTTCGTATCATCCGAAAGACTAGACAGCTGTCCTTGTCAGGCCCTCTGTTCTGCACCACTGACAACGGGGAATCACGCCGGAAAATCTGGATGAATTTATAGTATGGGAATCGTATAATGTGATATACACGGAGTTTAGAGGAAAGCAACAAAATACGCCCATTACCAATACATAATGATAGTATGGACGAGCAACAAGTATTATTTCATTTATCTGTTAGCTGTTGGAACTCTTATAATACTAATACATGTACGGTGATATAATACTATATCTTAGTACAGTTCCATTTTCTGACCCACCCAAGCGTATGTAGGAATATATTAACTCGTTAGTTTTAACTGACCCACTATGTCGTATTTAAGAATATATTAATCCGGTAGTTTTAACTGACTCTCATTGTTATGTATTTCTCTTGTTCTAATGCTGATCTATTGGGTAACAAAATGGAGACTATGACCGCAGTTTGGCAGATGGATCTGGTATGGACTTAGATGTAAAACACCAAAGCCACTCGCAAGACGACAGTGAGAGCGAGCAATGTCTAAAAATGATCCATATTGTTCGAGAGACTCGGCCTAAGGCCATAAATGGGAAGATTGCAAAATAATATAAAACCAAGTACGAACAATACAAATCATTAGACAAAATTCAAAGTCCTAAAAAACGGTATAGACAAAATAGTGTAATCAGCAAATGGAAAGTTCACCGTGTAAAAAAATACACGGCAAACAGTAGTAACAGGAGTCCGGAAGAGTAACCTTCCCATGCCTGGCGCCAAACCCGCCATAGCTACATCCAAACCATTAGACGAAAATTCGGTAAAATAGAGTAATTGGCCAATGGAATATCCGTATGCAAAATGCACGTGATAAACAGTGTTAGCAGATGTAGTATACATAATCAGGAAGATAGTATACGCGTCAATTAAAAATATTTTGAATAATAGCCAAAAGAGACATGTTATATTTACTAATCAAGTCAATATGACGGCCATAAAACTTTTTAAAGGTTTTTATAAGTTTAATGGGAAAGTATCCCTGTAGTTGAAGTTTAGATGACAAATGACTTAAAAAATCAGAATAAAACGAACAAGCTCTAGCGTACCGAACTAGCTGAGACACATACACTCCATAAGCTGGTGATATTGGAAAATCATATTCTAAATATACAGGAATTAGCTTGGGCTCTCCTAGTGAAAGTAGGCGTTATAGAAGCAAGACAAGCAACCGGGAGTCTCGCACTTCCTTCTACGACATGGATTTGAAAACGCGAGTCAATGTTGAGACAACAATCGCACTCTATAAATTGTCATATCGGGATTTGTATATTCGTATTAACATAAACACATCTACACTCAATGTTTATTCATTGTTGTATTTGTGCATTGGGGAGAGGGTGGGGGTAATTTTAATTACAAAGTCGTACTTTAATCTCAAAGGTAGGATATTGTATCGTTACAATTCAAAGTTTTAACAGTAGTTGATCACACAATTATTAGACAATTATAGATGTCCAACCTTACAATACATGCACTTGTTCATAAACATATAGCCTTACAATACTTGTTCATAAACGCGGCCTTACATACAATACTTGTTCATAAACACGGCCTTACAATACTTGTTCATAAACGATCATAGACAACCATAGATTATAACTGCGGGCTTAATAAATGGCTTAATGCAAGATCACAAGAATGAAATGATAAACAACCAACAGAATTATCTCCAGGAATTCGAATACAAAAATCCATAAAACCTAGGGCAACGTGAAGTTGGCACGTTAATCGGGATTCTTACAGATATTGGATGATATTGAGTTAAGATATTTGGCTTTGATTAGGGACCCATTTACAACTAAACCTTCACAACGGAAACCCTTACAGGGATTAAAAGGAGGGGAATCCTATTATTTTTAAATATCAATGTATTAATACTATTAATGGGAGACCAATTAACCCGAGTTATAGATAAACATTAGTTTAAAGAAAAGTGTGTCTGTATGTATGTATCTATGGGAGGGGTGGGGTAGGGTATGAGTGAACAAGTGATCGCTGATGCAAGGGAAGCCTTAAATGTAAAACCTGTAGATTGTAAAACTTGCCGAGGGGAATCGTAAATATATTAATTCAATAAACTGAAAATCAAGGACTGTGAAATGTTTTATTAGACTGTAAAACTGGATAAGTACTGAGTTCGATAATGAGCATTGTCGGCTTCGGGCAAGCAGAGTGATAAGCAATTTGATTGGTCGATAACTTGATTCTAATTGAGTGATAGTGGTGAAACTTCGTGTATAATTTCATTACATCAATACCTTACTTAACAAAGTTCGATGTTGAACATGTTCTGCTTAGGCAAAGTGGAGACTTCAATCTGATTGATCGAGACTTTGGAACAGAATAAGTCTCCGTCTTGTTGTTCAAACAGAGATAAGCAATTTGATTGGTTGAGACCAAGGAATACGATAAGATTGGTTCTAATTCCCTGTGAGCGATGGAACTCCCAAATAGATTAATTATATCAATACCCTGACGAAGTTCGATGAGCAATTAGATTGGCCTAAAAGATACACGTGCATTCAATTTGTATCAGCTTTTTATTTATTTTATTTTTTGGTGGGGGGGGGGGGGATTTCGGCGGGGAACATCAGCCCCACTGTTGACTTGTTTTGGGGGTTTTATCGCTCGCGTTTTCGGAAAAAGTACGTATTCTACAGATTTAAACATTATGAGATCTGAAAGCTATTTAGTTCAAAAGGTGAATGAATAACTAAAACCTTAAAAATGATAACAGGAAGTGACGTCATAGACGAAAATAGAACAATATTAGATGCCAAAGGAATTTTTTTTCCTTTTTCAATCAATTTTAATGCAGTTTTCACCAGTTGGTAGTTAAACGTAATTTACAAGTTTTGTCTTACAGAATGTGGTCTCTACCACGCATGCGTATGACCTAATTTCCGAATATCTCCCATTTTAGCGCGAAGAGAGATTTTCAGCTTCTTTAATTTTACCCGATTTGAACATATAAGTCAATACGAGTTGTCTATTAAATTTTTGGAGTACCCTTTACACGTTAAATTTCACCTGAAGTGCCATCATTTTGAAAATGAATGTCAATCTTCAAAATCTCGTACAATTCTTTTCCGATTTTCAATATCTTTATATTTCTGGAAATCATTCACAATCAATCTGCGAAATTACAATTCTGATATTTGACCTATATGTTTTTAAAGTGACGTCATAAAAATGTTTTTTTGTTAAGGTAAAATTTTAAAATCAATAAGAATCAATAAATATTGTCTTTCACCATTAAAAATTTATATATTATCGATTCACGTTGGAACAAAAATATTTTGAGTTTAATCATAGAATAAAATATCCATAAAACAAGAAATGTTGCTGGGTAAAGATTTCCAAATCTTTACCTTGGTCCTTTTAGTTCATTTAACCAGAAATGAAATTTTACATCTACCGAAACAGTCAGCATATGGGAAGTTTTACAATGTCAAAAATCAAGAATCTAAAGTTGTGTTTCTGAAGACTTGCCAAGGTGGAGTTTTTGGTTTTTTCGAATGGATGAATACGTCGAGTGTGGTGTATGAAGTGAACTTTGGATATTATCAAATTAAAACATTGATCTGGGGTCGTGATGAAAATGGACCCAAGAGTATTACAACTGATCCCGAGTTACTTCCAGAAGAGAATCGATTTAAATTATTTTACTTTCACTGGGCAAATAATACTATGGTGGTTGGTGCTGGAACTGTTGTCGGAGAAGGGCCGAGGTTTCAATTCTCTAGTAACAATGCAGTAACAGTGAGATACATGTCAGTTAGCACAAGAGCCTGTCCTATACATTATATTTTAGAACTGTCTTGTAGCAAAGTTTAAGTGTATTCTTTTATTTTTATTTGGGATTTAATATTATTGTGCACCTGTTCATAGATATATATTTAAAATGTTAATTACTGCTAAACTTACCATCGGTCATCATACATGGATCGTAGAACACTCTTTCTAGTGCAGATAACCCAGTGACGTCAAGTGTTCAATTGTTACAATAAAAAAAGTACCAGAAAGATTTGTTAGTGTGTAAACTGAAACAAGGGCGATACGATGGACTTGGATTTCAAAATCCTAAGCTAACGAAGTATCAGTATATGAGCTAGTTTTTAGTGAGGGGCGCGTGAATTGGAATGAAGGGAGTCCTGAATAGTTTGGTGAATCAACTATCGTTATAAATAGCAATCAAGACGAGGTGGATGAAGAAATTACACCACAATGAAACTAGGTCCATGGCGTCCATGGACAAGAGTATGAGGGAGATACATCTGTTGTCTTTGGCATCTAGAATTGGACACAAATGGATAGCAACGCATATCATAATATAGGCCTAATATGAATGTATATAGACTTGATTTAAATTCTGTTCTTACTGTAATGTCTTATCAGTTATGTTCAGCGAATTACGCGAACTGTTCCGCTTCATTATATATGGGGCTCGAAAGCATTCTGGCACGCGACTCCTGTGTAAATTTTCGTTTTGTCTTAAATATTAGATGCTAGAGTCCCATCTTTTCACGGTAAGATAACAACATTAATGTTGATCTAAATTAGTTGTGTTTGCAATGTCACTGTGCGTAATCATTAAA